CCCCCCCCATGTACATACCCACTACCCCCCCCCCATGTTTTAGACATAACTCAAAGGCATTTTTGGCTTTTCTAACCTACATTTGCTTCTCACTTTAGGCTTAAAGTCGGGCTTCTTATATAATGCCTTGTTTTACCTTTACCAGACTAAATATATATTTAGACCTATTTCTGTAATTGACTTTCAACATTTTATAGCACATTAGGAAGCCTATGGTTAGATGATTTCCTTTTCATTTGACTCACAGATAATGTTTAATTTAAAAATTCAAATAACATTTGAAACTGAATTGTAGAATTCAATTATGTAAGTTGAATTTAAATATATGGATTACTGGAGCCTTGGGCTTGAAGTAAAGTAAAAGTTTAACCTGAAAGATATATCGGAACTAGAGTCTCCAGATCCCCCTCCCACCTTCACGCTACACAGCACCGTCATACTCAATATTATTAGCCTCATATCTTCCCGCAAACAAAGTCTAAAATAATATTAATATTCTCTTGATATTCATTTCTTCATTATTTGGAACAATGGAAGCTTTGATTAACATTTTCCTATGAGATATACATAACAAGAAAATAAACAGCTAGCTATCAAGCTGCAGGTGGATATTCTTTTACATCTAAAAATATTGGTTTCGAAAACTAATAACTATGGATTGGTCCTCATAATTAAAGGCCAAAATTATCTTTTATATTATTATTTTTATCACAAAATCAAAACTTTTCAAACATGCACCTTCAGAATTCTTTAGTTTAAACTAGTGTGCAAAAAGTCAGGAAAAAGATTTGGTGTCTTGAAATGTTTTGTGCTCCTCCTGTTCCTTTGAAGAAATGAAAGATTTCAATCTTTTCTTGTTAAAGTGTAATTTCGTTTTCCATACATTTCAAGCAATATATTTTCAGAGAACATATATGTGATGTCATCTCATTTACCATGAAATCGAGTATAGAGAATGTTATCATGGTTATGGTGGTATTGAATAAAATCAAAACAAAAAGTGACACTTATTTTCAAAGAATTGTAACCATAACAAATATAAATGTTTACAATACACAAAGACAAGTGTTTGAAGGGAGCTCTTATGACCAAACAACTATTAGATGGACATCGTAGTAGCCAGGGTTGTAACAGAGGGGACACACGGGTGCGTGCCCTCCCCCCTGTAGGAACACGGTTCATTTAAGGTTTTAATTTGAATTCTTTATTTTTTCCTTATGAAATATACACTAAATATACAATTTCAAGACTTAAACTGTAACTGATAACTCAAGCCACATTCCAGCAGTCTTTTCAATTTGATTAGCTCCCTGTGGCCGAATTTAAAGAATTTGAGCGGCGGTTTAAATTTAAGCCGCGGTTTAAGTATGATTGGTTCCACTTAAAATTGTATCAAATGTTTCAAGATTTAAGCCGGCGCTGAATTTAAACCGGGGTTTGGCGGATTTAAACCGCTGCTCAAATTCTTTAAATTCCATCTCTGGTATTCTATAATAAAGTTCTTTATATTAAAGAACCACTGCCGTAATTTTAGTGACCGTCTTTTTAAAGATAATGATAATTGATAATGTACAGCTCTAAATAAAATCAAAGGGTTATTAGAAATTATGTGGGCAGCTCGACGAATTAGTTATCAATTTTTTTTCAAATTTTTATAAGAGATTGTACTCTTCAGTATCTCTAATACATAGATATGTACTTTTTATACTTCTTTTACTTATTTAAATTCATATAAATAAAAATAAATTTGTGTTTAGGAATTAATGTTTACTTAAACTGCTGTGTCGATAATAGTTCAATAATATATAATTAAGCAATGAAAAGTGGAATTTTTTTTTATCATGTAACAAATTGAATGTAAAAAAGTTAGTTTTTCAGACATAAAAATTTAATTTGTAGATTTATGTGAATTTACGGGAGAAAATGAATAATTTCTGAACGGTATATATAATACTTGGAATAAATTTTATGAAAACTAGTTCTAGAAGATAACAGGGGCGTATACAGGATTTTGTACAGATGGGACTTAAAACTTTTTTTTCAGGGGGGATGGGGCTCAGAACCCTTTGGGGTCTGAAAACCCCCAAGTTTTCACTTAACCAGGGCTGACTGCTGAGTAATGTTATGAGGGGGGATGAGTAATGTTATAAAAGGGGGACGGGGTAATTGCCCCCCCCCCTCTTTTAGGCCTCCGTGTGTCAAGATATTTGAACTACAAACAAGCTGTGTTCAATGTTTAATTATAGATATATTTACTTTTAATAGAAAAATCTACAAACTTTGCTTTGTTCCGGAGCGGTCGATTTTGGCCATTTTAAAATCCCATGTTGACGAAGCGGTCGATATCGACCACTGTCCCTATCTCTAAAACTATGCATTGTATGAAAAAAAATGTTTCTGTTCCTCAGGGAATATTTCTATTTAAAGTCGTTTTTAATTTATGGAGAAAAAAATCACAGGGTGAAAACTTAAACAACCAAAACTAAACGTTAACAAACGGTAATAATCGGTAATAATTTTAAAACTAAACGTTAACAAACGGTAAAAATCGGTAATAATTATAACAAAACGGAAAGAAATTTGTAAAACGGGCCAATTCGGAAAAAAACGATCCAGCTGAAGGCCTTCGTAAATAAGCCATTAATAAGATCAGACGTTCTGCAGAAGTTTATCGGTAAAATATACGGGAAAATGGATTTTTGCACGTTTTGAAGGTCAGAACACAAAACTTGAACGAAAGAAAGAAAAAAGACTAAAAATTGAAAAGAGAAGATGAAAAGGAAAATCTGTATTAAAAGACAACTAAAGAAAGAAGGGTGAAGGAAGGTTAAAGGAATATAAATTATTGTACTGTACAAAGACAAGCAAACCGTAACTAATTCTTCACCATTTCCGATCCAAACATCCCTCCCCCCCCCCCCCCCTCTACCCCATTAAAGTCATGCTTCAGTCAATACATTTCTTAGCTTTCTCCGTACCCCCCCCCCTCTAGGTTTCTTAATCTGGCATTATGAATCTTGATATATATTGAAACAGTTGGTACATACTCCACTTTCTGTAATATTAATTTAGATTTTTTTGTTAACCTCAAATCTTATTCAAGCTTATCCTACACCCCCCGTTACGTTAGCACTCCTTAGTAAAGTCCTTCTACACCTTTTCAGCATAATCAATTTGATATTTGAGTTAATGGTTAAATACGCTTCAAGCTAAGCTCTCTGAGGGTTCACACCTAACTTTCTTCTGCGAGACAGAGGGGGCCTAAGAGGATGTGTTTTTTTAATATGAAAAATTCCCAATTTTTAAAGAAAACTCTATTACAACATACCAATTTGCTAATTCATTATTTTACATTTTACCATTAATCAATTAAACTTGTCAAATCAAAAATGAAAAAAATATATTTGATAGAAATAAAACCATGATAGTTAATATTCATTCAATGCAATGAATTACTAATTATCTGTTATATTTCTAAAATGTGAGAAGTTCCAAAGGAATTGAGACATTGCCACAAACTCTGATTTCTGAATCCCTTAATCTCTACAACCCATTGTTGTAGACCTTAGATATTTCAAACTATGAATTCTGATGGATCAAATAATTAAAGTTTGAAATATCAAAGGTTCACACCATCTGGTTTTAGAGATATAGGTATTAGAAAATTGGGATTTGTGGCAAAGACTCAATTCCTTTCACCTTAATCTATTATTTTTGTTGTTGTTGTTTTCTTCTCACCATGCCTCGTCATCAATTTTCATGGCTAACACATAAATCTTCTGAAAATTTTAATTTGAGATGCATATGCTTTTTACGACCCAGGTATATAACTCATAGTTAATTTACTTGTAAACAAAAGGTATATTACATTTAATAGCTTTTAATCTTAATAATATATTATATATGTATGATTTTGCAATAAAAAAATTCATGCAAAACTAACGTAAGTCACTTATGTTATAATAGAAGACTTCTTCAAATTCACTGAAGATCACAAATAACAAAATCCATAAACACAAACTTTTTTATGATAGATCGTGGTGAATGGTGAGGGAAAAAATTTAATCACCTAATCAGTTAAGCGTACATACAAGTGAACCTCCATACAAAAGGGCAATGCCCGATTTGCAATGGGTTTCTTTCAAACCGTTTATTGTGTACTTAAAATGAGCTTGATGTTACATGCATACCTAGAAAATAACGAGTTACATGCATACCTCGAAAATAATGAGCCAAATCGGTTTTGAAAAATTCTAATGTAGATTTTTATTTTTTTGCTACTTCTAGAAAGTAAACATTAATATATCGTAAATATAAAACAGCTTGCAAATCAAGTCCGAAATCATTGATCAGATTTAAAGAGTACTGGTGTGCATTGGACACGCAACTTTAAAAATAATGTATCACTTGAAATTACGCCTATAGTTCCTTTAAGAGTGCTAAAAAGTCTAAATTTGATGTTTCCACCAAAGTGATTTGTCGACTAGGGTCAAACGACCTAAAATCAAATGCCATAGGGTCAAACGACATAGGGTAAAACTACCTGGGGGCAAACGACAAACGGTCAAAAACGCGACAAAGCTAAGGGTAAAACGACATAGGGTCAAAAAGTGCGACAAACGGGCAAAGCTTCAAATAGTCTATTTTTAGTTAATTTCAAACTATTTTTATGTTCTTCAGAACTAGTGGCTGCAGTGCTCGGCCCCCTAGCCAGTCCTAGCCGCAGCGCTCGGCCCAAAAATTGTCTTAACCGAACCTTACCCTGAAATAATACATAAAATATTTTTTTCCATTTTTACCCTTTGTCATTTTACCTTTTGTCGCGTTTTTGACCGTTTGTTTGTTTGACATGTCGGTGAACCCAAAAAGTGTACCCCCTTTTTTGGCATGCACATTGCACATGGATGTTGTTGACAGTACTCATTATATTGGATTCAAGTTTGATGATGTGTGCACTCAGAATTATATATGGTAACTTTAAACATTTCTATTCCAAAGTTTCTGCATTCCCTTTTTATAAAATTAATCTTCAATAAATGTGTCATCCCTGAAGGGTTTAGAATGAATAAAAAAGCTGTTTTTTAATTGTTGCCTTTTAGAATACGTTTACGTGGTTCAACCTTGTCTCGCTATTCATCAAATCTAATTCCAATGTTTTTACTTGTCCTGGGGTTCCCTTGGTATACGAGATTGTATGCAAAAAAATTCCCCTGATTCCACTTAAAGATAGCAAAAATACTCCTAGTTCTTTTGGTAGAAGAAAAAAAAACTCCTGGTTCCACTTAAAGTAGAAAAATGCTCCTGATTCCATTGGCAGAAGAAAAAACAATCCTGGTTCTATTGGTTTATAAAAAAATACTTATGGTTCGATTGGTAGAAACTAAAAATCTCCTGATTCCACTGAAAACAAAAAATAATCTTGGGACCGGATTTAATGAATAATTGAGCCAGGTCAACTGGGAAAATTGATTATTCTTGCATCGGTGATTCAAGACTTGTCCACTTCATATAGATGATAAGTATTTGAATCGACAGCAGGAAGTTTAGCGACCTAGCTCAAATTAATTAAATTCCAATATAGGTACAGGAAAAAAATCTCCTGGTTCCACTGAAAAAGAAAGAATGCTTTTGGCTCCATTTTTAAAAGAAAACAAAACTTCTGGTTTCACTTTTAGAGGAAAAATAATGATTCCACTGAAAGACAAAAAATACTTCTGGTTACATTTGAAGAAGAAAATTATCCTTCCGGTCCCATTGGAAGTAGAAAAAATAATCCTGCTCCTATACTGAAAGAAGGACAGAATACTTTATGTTCCATTGGTAGAAGAAAATATTTATCCTGGTTGTTAGAAGAAAAGTAATATTGCAGTTTGCATTGGGGGCAAAATATACTCTTTGTTCCACTAGTATTTGAAATGGTTCCACTGCTTGTCCTGCTGTTTAAATAATATTTAAAATCAGTCTAAAAATATTGTACGTGTATTTCGACATCAACAGAACACTTGTAAAAGCAGAACCTGAGTAGGCCCCTACTTATTCTTCTTATTAAGTGACTTTCTCTACTACATGTTGTATGGTCGGGTATTTTGAAGAAACTGAAGATACGAGAATATATCCCTTGGGTAGTCTAGGCTTCAGAGGCCGACCAAAAGATTTGTCCCAGAACCTCCCTTTCTCTACCCCCGCTCCTCCCCTCCCCTGAATATCCCAAGGGGACAATTCCCCAATTTACATTGATACAGGAAGTTCCTGATATATCCGAACCTAATTGTTTCCATCCAACATTCTATTTTTATTTCTTTTTAAGATATATTTTGTAATGCTTTAAGTGCAAAAAAGGTACAATTAAATTTTTTATTATAAAAGAAAAGAAAAATCATAACAACTCCTCTCCCCCAAACTTGTATATCGTCGTTTTCCAACCATCAAAATATTTTTGTCTTTTTGTATTTATATGGGTGAAATCGCACGTTTATCATTCATACCCATGCCGTGATATGACATTTATATTACATGTTTATTATTATAGTAAATTTAAATAAAATAATTGCTATCTTTCTACAAGTGCAAAAAACGGCACAGCAAGACCCATGTTTATAAAAGTCCATAAAGTCTTCTGAGATGTACGTCCTTCCTAGACAATTCTAGTAAAAGCACCTCAAGGAATGGGAGAGTATAATAAATTATGTTATTTTTTAAAAGAAAATTTTAATGGGAGTGACAGGCAATGTATGGTTGCTTGAAATAAGTGTGCAGTATTGTAGAAAACATTTTAGGATTCATTTGAGACAAGGAAAACATTTCCACGATGTAAAATTACTCAGTTTGAGCGTAAAGTCGACGTTCAAAATTATGAATTTGGGTGGGTATGTTTTCATACTTGTTTTTTTAAAACATTCAATAGCGACGACAAACAGTAAAAATTATATATCAAACTATAAATTAGATGTTTATGAACATATTTCTCAAAAGATATTTGTCAATAAATCAATATTAGCATTAATTATTTCATTTTCATCATTGTATTGAATTTCTTATTTTCTATGAAACTGGACTCCCTTTGTTTACAAACGCAGACTTAGAATTTGTATCTAACTTTAATAAAGATTAACGTAAATTAAGATTTCAGAAGGGAATTTTAGCCATTTTACTGAACAACAAATAATTTCAGACAGCACAATAATGCCTGAATGCATAATCGCATAATCTGTAAAACTATGAATGTACAAATTGCGGTACCGAAAAATGAAGATCTTCGAAATATATCTCTTGGTCTTCACTTTAGTATTTTATGTAAGAGTGGTTAAGATACTAAGACATACAGGGTATACCACGAAGCATAACATTTAATAAATCGTTATTTTTAGTCAAACAAATCTTTTGCTTCATTATCTTTTAATTTGAAATCAATTTTAATATAACATGACTCCCATATAATATTTTTATTGATCTTTGGTATTAAACAACTTAACAAAGACATTCTAAACTATTCACCAACTGTCATATTTGTTGGGACACCCTGTTGGAAAAGATATTAAGAGAGGCGTATTCAGATTTTTTTTTCCAGGAAGGGCTTACATTTCTTTTTCTTTTCAGGGGGGGGCAAAATTAGAAGTGCCAGGCAAAATCAATGTATTGATTAAGAGAATGTATAGTATTTACATATAAACTACATGAAAACATACAAAAAATTTTAATTTTATAATTATGAAAATTTCGAAGTTCTAACTGAAGACGACATTTACATGGGTCTTTAGTTTATTTTTCAAGTCTTTACTTTCCAAAAGAAATCTCTTCGTGCAATTATTTCCAAACCAAATAAAACCTTATGGCCCAACCTGTTGTCGTTGCCTTAGTCTGTTCCACTTTAGTATTTATTCACTTTACCAATTTCTCGCTGTTCATTGAATTTGGTCCAGCTGTAGACATAGTTTTTGAGACAAGGGGTTCAGAGGATTGAAAATTAATTTAGTCTTTGTCGACTTTTTAGATTAGAAAATAGCATAAAAAAAATGTTTTACTTTTATGGTTTAGTATTAGCAATAGTATTAATGGATACAACGGAGTTTGTTTCTATTTATATATTCAATGCAACCTTCCCTCTTCATGTTTACTAATACAACTTAGGAAAGTTACACAGTGAATACAGGATAATCGTATGGTATAAGCTTTCTTTATAACCTACACTAGTACTGCACAGTACTGTACTGAGGTATATATCATATGATATGTTCGTGCAAGATAATTTATGCTCATGGTGCATTCTTTTCAATATAACGTTTTGATAGATTAACAATCTTAGCTTCTATTCTGGGATCTCAATATAGATTTACTGCTCATGACCGTGAGGTGGTTGCCGCCCTATTGAAAAAATCTTAACTTTCTGTAAAATTAAACATAAAAATGGTTTTCTTTATGCTTAATAATTATATTGTATACTTAACCAAAAAAAAACTTTCATTTATTTTTACAAAAACACATGCTTAATAAAAGATAAAAAATGCGAAATATGTAAAAATATGGTCCAAAAATTCTTTAAAGTTTTTAAATTTTAGAATTTAAGTTTTCATGTTGACTTCCTTCTAAAATTCTAACTTGTCTGAGGTTCCCTCCTTCAAAAGTTTTAACTGTGGGCCCCTATTAAAAGTGTCAAATCTGGCAGATGAAACTTTTACAATATATTGAAACTAGGGCCCACTTCACTAAATGAAGATCTCAGAAAGTATAAAAATAAAAGTTACACAATATCTTCAAAATACGCATTTTATCACCCAAAATAGA